TCACAGAATTAATTTTTACATTGCTTCCTTAGATGATCAATGAGGAACTAAAGATATTTCCAGGCAGCAGAGGCATGCTTCATTGAGTCATCAGGAAAGAGAAAAAAAAAAAAAAAAAAAAAAAAAAGACATCACCACCTCCATATTTTACTTCCAGAAGAGATTTTTAGCTGCCTATGTATGAAGCTACCTGTGTTTGCCAGCGGGCTTCCAGGTTTTATGGAACTTCCTGTTTCATAATTAGTAAAAGAACACGAAGCACCATGATTCACACTCGTTGCAGCCTCGTCACTCTTGGGTTGGGAATGACACGCGCAGCGACAGGGCGGCGAGGTCTCTGCCTTTCTCTCTTCCTTTTCACATGACGACGTAAGCGGTGATTTCTCTAAAGGACAGTAATTGGTCTTCCATTAAAAACCACTCAAGACCATACAGGAGAACTAGACTTTCAAAACAGTTAAGATGAAAGATTTATTTAGGCCTTATAAACCTTGTGTCTCTACAAAGCCTGAACAAACTCTCATCAACTTTTGAAGATTTGCAGCGCAAAGAACTGTAACAACTTGCAGAAATGAAAAATACCCTTTTTCTATTCAATCTGCATAACTACAACCCACAAGTATTTTCTTTCAAAGTTCCAACAGCCATCCAATCCCCTTATGAGACCAGATAGCTAAATCCAGTTTAGCATTACTGGCCATTACTGGTTTATGTTGCCAATAAATGTAATGGTGGAAAAAGACCTGGTTAGTTTCCTGAAACCAAATGTTTAAAGTCTGATAAACAACAACAATTCATTATAACATATTTTGGTAATAAAATCTGGGCACACAGACCCTAAGACAACTTACCATACAGAGACTGCTGCCATGATAAAGCAGAACAAAGTAATGCCAAGCTTTTGCCACTTCCTGTAGGGCTCTCCAACAAACAGTGTTGCCTGTTATTTAAGCCCTTGACAATCTTTAAAGAGAATAACAAGAACACAACCAGAATTAATAGGAAAAAACCAAAGAGGATGTCTTTAGCTAATCTAGAAATAACTTCTACAGACGGATCAGGACATGTGCTGTCTTGTAAAAAAAAGAAAATAAAATCAAAACACAGCACAATCACCTTTAATAACAACAGGTCAACATGTCTTAGCTGCATTTCTCTCCAGAGGAACATGGCTCATTAGCAATGCTCGGAGGTTCACTTAGGGGGGCTGTGAAATACTTAACCTGCTACACAGCAGTACCTGGGCGGGGTACTGTCCTGTTAGACAACCAAACCATTAGTCCCACAGAGAAAAAAAATGTTTAAAAATGGTTGAAACTGTGTAGAAATAGGTAAATGTGAAGTGTAATAATTTTTTAAAACTCTCCAAAAAGCAAAAACTTACTGAAACACTACATTCTGTTTAAAAGACAGGTGTTTTACTAAATCATTTCTTCTTATATACTTGCAAAATTATATAACACTTCTATTACAGTATAACTAGTTAAATAATCATATATTTTATGTAACACAACTTGTTTCTTAGCATAGGTGTTCACAAATCCCAAACATACTTCAGCATTCCCCAGCCAGATATCCAGACATCATTGTAAGACTAAAACACAACTTGTTTCTTAGCATAGGTGTTCAGAAATCCCAAACATACTTCAGCATTCCCTAGCCAGATATCATTGTAAGACCAGTAAGTTACATTACAACTGAAATCCTCACGATATCAGCAGCTCTGAAAACATAAGCCATTAGTTTAGCAAATATTAGTATAAATTCTACTTACAGCATTCATCATAGCAAGTTGTGAAGGGTAAGCCTTGCAAGGGAATATAATCTTTACTCCCCCAATAGTATATTCAGACACATCCAAAGACATGGCTATTTTTTCCTCCTGTTTACTTCAGGTTTTTAACTGCAATAAAAAATAGTATTAACAAGTCAACACTAACAGCCAGGCAAAGCCTGAAACAACGTATAGCACCAAACAAAAGCGAGCAGAAACTGCCAACTTGAAAAGGGGGCTAAGCTCCTCAGGATATTACCAGGACTGGCAAATAGGAATTTACACACTGTCACTTCAGACTCAGTCCTTGTTACAAACACGAGGAAGTTACCACCATCCGATGAGTAACACCAGCAATTTAAATAAAAGTATGAAAGAACCACACACATCGTTTCACATTCTATTTCTCAGACTGAATACTGTTGGGATAAAAACCTAAATCTTTGTGGGAAAAGTATTTTAGGATATTTAATAAATAAATAGCCAGTTTTTCAGGTCCATTAGCTTGAACTCGAAGACTACAAACTACAAAGTTACAGCTGACAACAGTAGTTTGTCCTGTTTATTTCATAGCAATGAGAAAATAAAACTAGACATTGACTTTAGAACTAAGATGATTTAAACTAACATATTTTTTTTTCCACTGGTAATAAAGGTGAAGATGAGGTTTCATTCATTTTACTGTCCTCGGAGTATTATCTTGCATTTCTCTTACTCTAGATAAAAAAAAA